ATATTCTGCACAAAATGTCAGGGACACTGCTATCCTGAGGTCCATCCACAGGCCCCAATACTGTTCTTCTGTCATATAATGATGATGGGAGCGTAAATGGTATAACCCCTATGGAGGGGAATTTGACAAAATCTAGAAAACTTATTACCTTTTGATCCACCAATCTCACTTCTGGGATCGTATCTCAGAGACACTTGCCAAAATATGAAATGGCATATGCACATGGTTATTTACACCATTATTTACAATCAAACAGGAGCACCATCTGAATGTTCATCAGAAAAAGAGGATTGGCAAAACACAGAAACACTACAGATTCTGTGTATTATGCAGATGTAAAAGTGAATGAGGAAACTCTCTAAAGCAGGGAGTGGGCTCAGTGCCTGTGGCTCAAGCGGCTAAGGCGCCCACCACATACACCTGAGCTGGCAGGTTCGAATCCAGCCTGGCGGTCAAACAACAATGACGGCTGCAACCAAAAAATGGCCGGGCCTTGTGGCAGGCGCCTGTAGTCCCAGCTACTCAAGAGGTGGAAGCAGGAGAATCGCTTGAGCCCAGGAGTTGGAGGTTGCTTTGAGCTGTGATGCCACGGCTCTCTACCCAGGGTGACAGCTTGAGGCTTTATCTCAAAAAAATAAAATAAAATAAATAAATAAAGTTGGGAGTGATGTCTAGGACACAGAATGAAGTGAAAAAAAGGGCACACAAACTACGTATGGTAAGCCATCTTTTGTATTAGCAACCACAGTAAAGAAAGGAATACGTATGTGTGTACAAATGCAGTCATAACTAAAAACTAAAAACAGAAAGCCAACTGGCACAAGTGAACCTAATTCCCTATCATATTGACATTGACATCCTAACCACACAGAGAAAAAAAATTATTACAACTGACTCTGGAACACAGTATCCCCACTGTACTTCTTCAGTGGGATATTACTCTTTAAGACAAAAATTAGACATAGACATCTCAATATCGTTTGAAGTAACATAAAAAAGGGAATGAACTGTTACTGCTCCAGTAAGATAAAACATGAGAAGAGGGCCGTTATCCCTAAAAAGAAAATCTCTGGCCTAAGGTTTGGGCCAAGTTGAGAGTCTCCCTGGAATTTCTGAACTCTGTATAGCATTAAACCTACGCAAGCATTACACCTTCGCTATCTCGTTTAACTTCTGTTTCCTGTCCATGAAACAGTCAAATTCCCATCTCTCCTATTGTAAGTTATCTTTCATATACACCAACAGGTGTCATGGCTCAGCATGAGAAAGCCCCTTCCCACAGACCCAGCAGCCTCCAGCCTGAAGAACTTGCCACAGGAGTTAGACGGAAGTCCCTTTCCCACGCCTAGGAGATAGACAGCCAGCCAGCCAGAGAGTGAGCAGGAGGGCACCAGCCAGCGGCACCCGACTTGACAAAAACACTGCTCACCTAGTTAAATATAAATTTCTGATAAACAATGAAAACTTTATATGATACTATATTTGTACCCCCAAGTAACTCGTTTGTCTGAAATTCAGATTTAACTGGACATGCAATCAAACATGCTGTTTGATCCAGCAGCCATGGTCCTGGAGCGCTCAGGTTGGTTTCCCGCCGGGCTGGGAAAAGGGTCTCCCCAACCCCGCAGGTGTCCCGCCTCTCACCGCTCAGGAGGAGGTGCCAGCCTATGGCTGGTCGCCAACCAGTCCCAGCTAGGCCACCGGCCACCGGGCGAGTCCTGCGCAATTCACAAGGTCCAACCCTGCGAACCACCTCTGCCCACACGAACCCAGCCAACTGAAGTTAACGGTTCTCAGAAAACAGCTCATGCCTTCTCGGTGCGCGCGCCTGGAGCGCGCCGGCTCTCAACCCAGGAGGAGCGTCCCGTTGCCTGGCAACGGGCGCAGGCGCCTCCAGGGCCAGAAGGGCCAGAGCCCGCGAGTCGCAGCATTCTGGCGCGCGGATAGGTGAGTGGAGGGCGCAGGGCGAGAGCGCTGGGGTGGGGGCGCGCGGGAATGAGCACCGGGAAACTTGCAGCCTAGAAGCTTTGAGAAGGGGGCGGCGGAAAAGAACAATCCACCCT